ATTATTTACATAAATTATTAATATTATTAATATTCTATGAGTGGGATACGGTGTACGGTGTACAAATAATGAGTAAAAAATAGTTTGACAATCGCCGAGCTGATATATATAGTTGCTTCGCGTATTTTATGTATTGCGTGCTTCGGTATTTAAGACGCTCGTCCGTTTCGAAATATTTATATTAATATATTTGCAACAAAAGAATATAAAAAAAAATCTTACAAAAACATTGATTCTCCAAGTGAAACTTCTGTTTGAGCGGTTAAGAACGCTAAACCCATCATCTTCGCCGCTTTGAAAATTTATTGATGTTAGTATACCCACTGCAGAATACTGATTTTTATGAAATTATTCATTTACCCGAACATAATATATTAAATTGGCTGTGCCACAGATTTATACTTTTTTAGGTATATTATTTAAATATTTATAGAGGTTTTAAAAATTTACCGCGTTCGTCGATGACATAGCAATACCATGGTTACTACTATTTTGTCGAATCTTCAGAAATTTAAAATTTTTAAGATGACGTAATACCACTGATACCCGCATATTGTGTTCAATGTGTTGTCTCCGTTTTACAAGTTATTACTGCGTAACATAGCAACTTTTACATTCATCAGAACACTTGTAGCTCTGTTAGTTTATATTTAGAATGAATTTACTTCTAATAAAATTTAAAGATATGATTATTATCTAGACTACCATCATTATAAATAATTATAAACCGTACTTTTTTGGACTTTTTTACTACGATGCCATGAAGAGATGCTGGTCGTCGTGATGCAAAATGCATATAATGATATTGTGATGATTAGTTAAAACATAAATAATTATATTACGGTCGGACTTGGTTAACTCAAAGTTGAAGTACATATCTAATACTTTGTATGTAACTATTATGATATCATCAACCTATTTCAGAAGGTATTTAATATCAAAGAACAAATCTTAAATGCACTCAACTGTCATGTTTGTAGATATTATTTAAAAAAAAGTTTAAAATACCTACCCTCAAAAAAAACATTTGCCGCCATAAAAATATGGGCCAATCAGAACCACACTACTCTTAACTCTAATTGGCTTAAAAATCATGTGGCCCCACTTACATTTTCCCTCCAAAATCTTAACTATTTATCAACAATGTAATCAGTTGAATTATCAAATTATTACTATTATTCCGTTGTACGTTGTATTATCGCGTCAATTGTGGCACGGAACTTCTAAGTTATATGGTATTACATTGACAAACAACAGTATTTAATTTATTGTAATCAATCAATTTTTACACAGTGGTGGTTTACTTATATTCTAACATAAGTTTAACATGTAGAAAAAAACAGTTCATTTCCTTTTTATATTTAAAAAATATAATTTAAGATTTTTTTTAGCGGCTCATAAACCATTAAAATAATTTTTAAATTTTCTCAACATTTCTGGGGGAGAGGCTACAGCTCCTTCAGTTCCCACTGGCCACACCACTGATTGATTTTATAGAGTATAGAACTATCTATAGACTATAGACTTTATAGCAGCGGTTCCCAACCTCGGGTCACGACCCAAATTATGGTCGCAGAGGTTTTCATGGTGGGTCGCGAAAGCTTTTCTTACATTTACATATTATAATAATTTATTATATTATAATTTCAATTTCGGAAAAAAAAATGATGTTCTTTTTTTAGGTCGCCAAAAGTTAAATTTAAAATTTTAGGGTCGCACTCATAAAATGTTGGGAACCACTTCTTTATTGAGATTTCTTGCTCGTATTGTTTTTTGTCGTGCTTGGGAACCCCTATATTGCATTATCAATTATACCACCACACTACCAGTTGTAACTGAACTCTGAAGACTGTTATTAAAAAAATAAAAACTGATTCAGACGATCAAGTTAGTACTTTAGTAGTTGCCAGACGCCTGTAAAGTAATAACTTGAGATTTTAGAAGCTGGACATGCGTGGTTTTAAGTTTTTTAAAATTGTTATGCTCAATATTTTACCCGTATTTCTTTCTTTTACTAATTACTACACTTTATAACCAGTTACTGTTTTTCAAGAACAATAAATATTATGGCGCCAATTCAGGTGGATCGTATTATAAGCGTAAGCAGTGAAGACCAGGTAAATATTTCTTCACTCTTAATAATATTTTTTTTGATGATTTTGATGATTAATTATAACAAATAGGCACACAAGGCAGAAAATATTCTTAATGTCTCAGATTCACATCAAACTTGGCGTTGTAAATCAGGTGAAAATCAAGCTACAGTTATTCTTCAATTTTTAAAACCGTCAGTCATTAGTTCCATTGATGTTGGAAATGATAATTCTGCTTTTGTAGAAATATTTGTAGGAAAATCTACGTCTGACGAATTTCAAGTAAACATTGCATAAACAATATTGTTTGTATAATAATAATAAATGTATCCAATTTATCATTTATTCTATAAACTTTAAATTGTAGGTGCTATTGGTTACTTCTTCTTTGATGACATTGCATGAATGTAAAAATGGATTAAATGTAAACAAAGTCCGCTTCTTTGACACCGACCATCTATCTTTGGCATCTAAGGAATCATGGGATAGAGTAAAAATTGTGTGTACACAACCGTACATTAAACAGAGCAAATATGGTTTATCATTTGTAACATTTCATTCTAAAGATATACCACAAAAAGAACCAATCCAATCACAGTCTATTCAGTTAGGATCATTTACATTAAGAAACGATGATGAGTCTGATGATATTTTATCTGCTGGTCGATTATTTTCTAAGCGTAATGAACATGAAAATGTTGTGAGGATGCCAGAATCACCAGTTAGTCGTCTACTTGCAATACATAAAAAAAACTTGGAAACAGGAAAAAATAAAGATACAAATTCTACAAATATTAATACTCAAACCCCTATTGTGAATCAAGCGATCTTCAAACCTTCAAAAGATTCTGTAAAACCTAAAAACATTGATTTAAATGTAAAAAAAAATGACATAAATACAATGGCGGCTGTTAAAAATACAGGTAGAGTATTGCCCTAGTAAAGTTTAATATAATAAATCTAAAGATAAGACCCAAGTTAATAACTTGATTTTAATTTTATAAAATATAATACAACATATTATTATACCACAATTCTGTATTTCTGTCACTAACTTGAGGTTATTTCAAGGTATTTTTTATAACTATTTCAATAATCATATAACTAGCTTAATATAATATAAAAAATAATTTTTTTAAAGCGGCTAAAAAGAAAGATTCAATTCCATCGTCATCAAACTTGCAACCATCCAGAAAAAAAATTAAATTAATAAAAAATCCATTACCAGCAACAAAACTGTTTAATCAATTATTGAACGATGTTGTATTTGTAATGAGTGGTTATGAAAATCCATATCGTAGTAACATACGTTCTAAAGCTTTAGAAATGGGTGCCAAATACAAACACAATTGGGATCCGTCTTGCACGCATCTAATGTTAGTAATACAAATTAAATTTTTTTTAAACCACATAACTAATTCTTTACTATTTATACATGTTAATATATTTTATAGATGTGCTTTTATAAATACTCCAAAGTATAATGAATGCAAAAGACAAGGAACCTATCGTATAGTAACAAGTGATTGGATTGATAAATGTCATTCAATTAGATGCAGATTTCCTTGGAGGAGGTAGTGTTAACAATTAAATATATTCCCCAAATGAATAATAAGACTATAATTTATATTTTAGGTATGCTTTGGATAAAATGGAACAAAATCAACCTGAAAGTGAAGATGAAATATGTGCACTTACTGATTCTGTTGAAACTGATGATACTGATGATGAATGGAATAGTGTTTCTGCAAAGTACTGCATTTAAACATTTTCAAACAAAATTTTTATTATTTGAAAAATTTAGCAGTTGTATACAGTTTTAATTATTTAACCTATTTAATTTTTTGTTATACAAAAGGCAAGTACCCTCAACATCTCAAACTAATAGTTCTGAAAATCAGCAAAATACAACAAAATCACTATATGATTTAGATACTGACATTGATTCAGATTTAGATATTCCTAAGGATTTATTAGCTGATGAAAGCATTTTACCTTTGCCATATATAGATGATATATTTCGCGATCGTTCATTTTATTTATCTACCAATTTAAAACCTTTGATAAGACAAGAATGTAATCGCTACATTATAGCACTTGAAGGGTACATAACTTATACATATTTTTTTATTCGTGTTTGTGATTATTAATGTATTTATTTTTTATGTAGAAAATTTAGTGAAAAAGATAAATGTGATTATATTGTTTCAACTGATGCAAATCATTTACAGGTAAGACATTTTAATGTTAAAACTTTTTTTTAATATTATTTAAAATATAATTTTTTCAGTTTAAGAATGCTGTTACTCCACAGTGGATTTGGGATTGTTATGATGCCAGAAAAATACTACCTTTAACTTAAAACTTTGTATTTTTATTGCTAAAAAAATATGTAATCTATACTTTAAAGGTGTTATATAATATTTATGTTTGTATTTAATGGAAATGGACAATGGTTATACAAGTATACAACTATTACTAATCATACCTAATGTTGTATATTATGTTTATTATTTAAAAGTGTTGTTGAGTACTAATTGATAAATTTTTTTTCATTAAGAACTAAAAATATTTAACTGTTATTCTTAGAATAAGATAGAAATATTTCATAAGTGATAACTTGTAGTTTTTCAGTCACCAATATTTTAACTTTATCATAACATGTAATTTTCTAATTAATATTATTCATTAAATAATATTAAAAAATAACAAATAATTGTAAAAAAAAAAATTAGGAACGCTAAAATTTCTAAAAAAATATGGACTTAATTTTAATTTTCTATTTTTCTATGATATAATCCAACAGTTAACAAGATAAAATATGAAAATAATTATCGAAGTAAAAGTTTTTGTTTGTCTTATATTATATTTGGAATTGTTTCTTAGATGGTTTAAAATATTATTTTTTTAACAATAAGGGCCGTTCTTATAATGTTCGTTTAAAGATAACTGGCAGAATTCTCCCGGTAATTTCACACTAACCTAACCTACACTGAATCAGAAATTGTAAATACTTACCTAAGTGATATAACTGAAATTTCTTACATATATTAGGTTTAAAATTATTTTTTGATTGTTGAATTTAATTGTTCAATATCATAAAAAAGGTTTGTAAACTATTCATAATATTTAAACTTCTGTAAGTTGTTAAAATTATATTTTTATACCTAATTTATTACTGTTTAAGGCAGTGTTTCTTAACCTTTTTGATATCACAGAACACCAAATAATATTTTATTCGCGTGGAACCTCTTTGAAAATTATCTTTAGAGTACCGCCCGCCGGCGGTCTCTCTTGCGATTTTAAACTTTCGTGGAACCCTATGGTTCTGCGGAACATAGGTTAAGAAACGCTGGTTTAAGGTATTTAAGACATTTTAAGTACACCTTGCCGATGGAAGAATGGAACATTTGGAACATAGAATTATGCACTGGTCACTGGTTTTGACTTTTTGAGAGTGCAGACCAGACAATTTATATGGGTGAAAGACGCTATTAGGGGTTTTTGATATTGATAAACGAACTGCTGTGAATCGTGATAGTATTATACTGATAAGAGGCGCTTTCTGCAGATAAGATCTTCCCAGACCACGGTTTAAGATAAAAAAAAACCGTGTCCAAGACCGTGCGATTATTTTTAATCGTGTTTCGTACTATTATCATTTATCTTTAATCGTGTTTCGTTTTTTTGTGAGCACGTGAAAAATAAAAACTAGCAAATTTGCCACTATTAGCTAAAGACTAAAGAGCCCGTCGCCCGGTAAGTTATGTTGGCACATGCCACTATGGCACTCTAACATAACAGATCTGCGATGCTATTTAGCTGCACATATTCTAATAAGTTCGGCATAATCATAAGTTTATAATTTGTATACGAGAAAACAAAATACATTTTTAGGTATCCGGAACATGACGAGGTTCGCCAGGGCTCGAGGCTCTAAATCATCCAACCAAAAAATACCGGAAGAAGCAACACCATGGTTGGAAATGAAAGAAAAGCCACAGCAAATCGAAAATGACGAGTCGACAACAAGCGCGATAGAAGTGTCGGAAGAGAATCGCAGTAGCAAGCACGACTCATATTCAAACGTCGATAAATTTGACGGGTTCAGCGTCTTGAAAGAGGACGCAGTGAAACTGCGCATAGAAAAATTCAAGTTAATTAAACAGGGTGTGCCCAGACATCAGCTAAAGGCACAATTAATGCCAATGCGTCGACGTGCTGAGAAGAAACTCTCCAGGCTCAGACAAAAATCATGTTTTCATTGTCGGCAACCTGGTCATATGCTGAACCAATGCCCAGAGTTGGGTACCAACACTGCTATGGGAGTCTGCTTTAAGTAAGTTATTTGTGTAGGGTACTAAAACATAGTAGAAAACTAATTAGTGTTGACTATGTCTCAATGTTCCTTCCTCTTAACATTTTTTGAACCACTAATATAACCCTACCTATATCTTTTGCATTAGGTACTATATTAAAATTTAAGTATCATGTTTCAGGTGTGGATCAACAGAACACAAATTACATGAATGTCGTAATGCAGGAAACAGTAGTCAACTTGATTTTGCCAAATGTTTTATATGCAAAGAAGAAGGACATCTTTCACGCCAATGTCCAGATAACCCGATGGGATTATATCCAAATGGAGGAGCTTGCCGGTAATTTATTTGAATAGAAACAAAATTGAAAATAAAGCATAAAGAAATTTTTAATAACTAAAAATGCTATTCAAAACAATTTCAGCTAAATAATAAACATTGTTCTTAGCTTACATAGATTTCCCCACCAATTATAAATTTAATTATTAATTACAGTATAAAAATATAATCAAATAACTTAAATTTAGATACACAAAATAACTAAATTTTGTTATATTTATGTTTAGTATATAATTTGATAAACTGTGTAACAAAAAATTTTCATTTAAATTATAAACATCTTCTAAAATATTACCTAACCTAATTTTTTTTTATATAACTGGTTATTTTTCTCCACAAATTAATTTTGTGTTATTTAATATCGCTTATTATACTCGTAAATATTAACTGTTGATAATAAACCAAATATTTATGGTGTTACAATTGTGTTATGATAAGATCAACAACAGTAAATAATGTATTATTAATAAATAAAAAAAATGTTTTTAAATTATTAGATCTTGTGGAGATGTTACTCATTTTGCCAAAGATTGTCCAGATAAACAAAAAAGAAAAAGAGAAGAAGATTTACCTACAGTTGGAATAATGGATAATCGAGCAATTGAAGATTTAGGCGATGAAAGAAGCTCTAAAAAACACAAACAATATAATTTAAAATCATTCAATAAAAAGAAAAAAGTCATAATGATGAAGTAAACATATATTTATTAAAATATTATTTTATTAATAAACATTTTATAAATCAATATTGTATTTTATATTTTTAGTTGATTATAATAAAAGCTGATCACAAAATAAAATTTAGCAATTACCAGTAAAAAAAAAAATTTACTTATTTTCTTGAACATTATTGACTATTTATAAAACATTAGGTTGTTAAACAAGTTCCATATAATAATGTCTAGGAACTAATGTACTATCGATTATTTGTTACCGGATAACTAAATATGAATAAAAATGAATTGATAATGATTAAAATCTTTCTTTTTATTTATTTTATTTCTATTTCTATTTTAATATGTATGACCATGCACCATCAACAGTCTAAAAAGTTCAAACATTTTCATGTACTTATTTTTGTGCTTATCAAAAATGTATGTATTAGTACGCATGGTGTATTTTATTTTATAAATACAAAGTTAGGACAATATAAATATTTAATGCACAATTCACAAATACGTTTTTAATATACAAATATTGGTTATATAATTAATATCAAATAAACCAAATATTATTTGATATGAACAACGATCCATTGACTATTCTATTACTTTTATAGGTTAATAAATGTTGTGGGCATGTGAGCTGTTGCCGATTAGAGCAGCAAAGTACATAAAAAATTTAGAAATATCAAGTGCTGGAAATGTATTTATTAATTTTTCTGCTATTTATATTATTTCAGACATTGAGAGTAAAAACATAATTCACATTAATAGAAATAAGAAATAATTATATATTATATTCAAGAAAATAGTAACAAAGAACAAAATTTTTCAGTTTAGTGATACTTATAAATTAAAATGAAATTCTTAATAAATATTGAATGTAAAATAAAATGCATCATTATTTTATTTTGGAATAGATTTAGAGTATCAAATGTCTTTACATTGGAGGCTTTATATTTATATTTCATGCATTTGGCTTACCTACCATATTGTGATGCTTAAATTAATGAAGGTTATAAAATAAAATAAATAGAAAACATTTTATAAAGTATTGAGTTTTGGGTAAATAAAACATTGTGTAGATATTTCTTTTTAATGACATGGTCTTTAATAAATATAAACAAAAGAATTGGAGAGTAACTTAACTTCAATTACAAGTTATTATGATAAAATTACTTTAAATTGATTTACTATAAGTAATTTATACATAACTTAAGTTAGTTGTACTTAATTGTAGGTACTTGACAAAAAAGTTTTATTTTTAATCGATTGTAATTTGGAAAACGCATTATTATTTATAATAGAGAATAATGTGATTGTCTAGTTTGGTTCTTAAACAAAGATTTAAAAAAAAAAAACATAAATTGATTGTCACTTAACAACATAATTCTTGAGCTCGGTGATAATTTTGAAAGAGTAAAAAGGAAGAGCATTTATTATGCTTTTTGATTTTAGTAAATATATTTTGTGCTCCCGTGTAAAAATCAGAATCATAATTATTACCCTGCATTTTACATCAACTTATGTGGCCTTTTAGTGAAAAAGTTAGACCCACGCCCACTTAAATAGATTGCAGCCCTATTGGCTATTTTAAAAATGAAAGGTGCCCCTCGCCTCTGGCATAAGATATCATTATTATGTTGCTATTTACTTGTCCATATAATACATTATTACTGAACTAACAATAATGACCTCGATACTTTAAAGGGAGTGTACGGTGTACGTTTTAGTTAAAGGTTCCAATTCGGGTTAATTTTAGCACCCATTAGATATTTTCTTTGCAGTATTATTAGCTAGATGGTTTTTTAACAGTATTCAGTAGTAAGTTTACACAGAGACTATGTAAAATAATTTTTTACTGGTAAAACAGTGGGTTTTGTAATCCCTATTTCCTATAGAATTTCTGTTTGCTTACCAAACACACTACACACTCGACACGTTAAAAAAAAAAATTTTTATTTTTTATTTTGATTGGTTTGTAAATATTAAAGAGTGTGGTATATTATATGTTTTATGTGTAAAATTATATTATGTGCTTTATTTAATTCAACTATAAAAATGCCGAGGCGACATATAACCTTACAGCGGGTGACTGCAGTATATATAATAACACGTTTTCGCGGTTTCTTTTAATATTAAATGCTGTTTTATTATTTCTTTTTAACTGCCTTTCGGGGATTACGTGTTGGAAATTATTATACCATAAAATAATTGTACCTACGTCTCAATATATATTCTAATGATGTAATAATTATTACGGACACGCGCGGCGGTTAGTACATTTTTATACATCAGATTTAACACCCAACTGCCCGACTACCGCTCGCCCCCTAAACACCTCGTGCCCGGTGGGCCCCACACTTAAACGCCGCCCACCACCTCCACTGCACCAAAACAATCCACCCACGCAAAAACTCGCACTTACACCCCGGTAAAGTACCCCCCTCGGTAGGGGGAGACTTTATTGATTTATTCCACTTTCCGTGTGCAGCCCTCTCATTGCCTGGCAACCACCACCTGTAACGTGTCACCGCCACAGCCACCGCCGCCGCCGCCGTTGTCGTCGTCGTCGTCGTCGTCCCCTTTCGTTTTCTGACCACACGCAATCTTCCGCTCGGTCGTGCACGCACTCGGTCCGCCTTGTAATATACGCGCTACACCCGGTGGTGGTGGTGCATTCGCCGCTGACCGAAACCGTCCGTCACCGTGTCCTGCCAAAATCCGCGAAAGATGAGAGGGCGCGTTCCGGCCACGTTCGCCGTGCGCGCATTTTACGCGATGGCGTGCACCGCGGCCGCTGTGCTAGGCGTCCGTGGCGCCGACGACAGTCTGCGGTCCGCGCTGGAAGCCATTTCGGACAAACTAGGATCGACGCCCCCGCGGATGGCCGCGGCCGCTGTCTACTTGAACCCAGGTTGGTACCCTGCACGCCGCGGCGGCGGCGGCGATCGATGTGGGCAAAAT